TATGTGTGTGTGTGTGTGTGTGTGTGTGTGGCCAGCTCAGCTCACCAGGGGGCGGGAATGGCTGGCATGTGGTGCTGGGGATTGAACCGCGGTCCCTGTGCTTTGCTAAGCTTGTTCTAAGTAGGTGCTTTAGACCACTGAGCCATCTCACCAGCCCTGCTTAGCCCATTTTGAAATAAGTCTCTATTCTACAGGAATTAAAATTTATAGGAGCTGGGAACATAGCTCAGTGACAGAGCATTTAACTAGTATGCAGAAGGCCCTGTGTTTGATCCCTAGTATCATACACATACATGCATGTATGCGCACGCGCATACACACGTGCACACACTTTTAACTGTAACTTAAATATATTCTTGCAGATGTCAGTATCTAGGGCACTCCAGTGGGGCAATCAGTCACCACACAGTACTTACGTAAATATCTAGCTATTTGGTACTAGTTTGAATATTTAATTATAGATTTTATTTAAATATGAGAAAAACAGGTAATCTATTTTATTTAAAAACAAAAAACTCAGTATCTATGTAAGGTTTGCAAGGCTGAACACATGAGTAATAGAACGCTTGCTTATATCACTAGCAGGGGAGGAGGGCAGGAAAAAAGGTAAAGTTTCTAGAGAACACAGTGTAAGAAATGAGTAGTGTAGTGTGCTGGGGTGTGGCTTGGTATAGAGTATTTGCCTAGCATGCATGAGGGCCTAGGTTTGATTTCTAGCACTGGAAAAAGTTATTTTAGTAAAAACTATTATAATATACATATAGGGCCAGGGAGATGGCTCAGTAGAATAAGCGCTTGCCTGGCAAGCATAAGGTCCTGAGTTCAACCCCTGGTACCTCAAAAACAAAACATATAATTCTTATTCAAAATCAAAGAATAACAAAACACATTATATAAAATCACTTAGGAGTGTACAAACAGACTTAAGAGTATTACAAAACTGACCTTTAAAAGTTCCTCTGATGTTGGACGATCCTGAGGGATTTTCTGGAGGCAAGAATCTACAAAGTTGCGAAAATAATCAGACCTATTGTAAAGGAAAGTATGGAGTGAACATATTGCTATTTCTTGTAAACACACACACATGCATGCATGCACGCATACACGCATACACACAAATCAAGGCATGTGCTTATTACTGGTGGGGGATGGACTGGAAAAGAATAGTACAAAAGGGTGAAGATTACATACTTTCATACAAATCTATGCATCAGTGGGGTCACACTGTCTTGGTATTTTGCCATAAGAGCAAACACTGCTTCTCTCTAAGAGGATGCAGGGCTCAAGACACCATTTTAAAAAACAGAGATTGATCTCTAACTCAGTGGTAGCCTAGGTCTCAGATTTCCTAGATTCTAGAACTGTGAGAAATAAATGTCTACTTTTATATATCATCCAGTCTCAAATAGTCTATTATAGATAGCTATGCAAAACAGACCAAAATGTATCATAGTAATTTATTATTTATTTTTGGTGGTACCAGGGATCAAACTCAGGACCTTGCACTTGCCAGGCAAGCACTCATTCCACTGAGCTATCCCCCTTTTCCCCCAACACATATCAGAGTACTAAGCTCAACCATAAGATTCCTTTGTGTATCTCTACATAATTAGCAAATTATGTGCTCTAAATATTACGTGCTCTAATTATTATGTGCTCTAATTATATAATCTTTAAAATGATAAACTATCCTTATTTTCTATATTTATTTGTGAATTTTAAAACATTTATCAATATCCCAGATACTGCCTTTTTTCAAATGCTAGGGAAGCATAAATTAATTTTGTGTGATAATTTTTTTTTAAACAGCAGAATATATTTATTGGGAGAAAGAAAATTTGTGTCAGAGAAAGGAACAGAAGGGGACTTGCATGGGTGGCCCTGCATGATAATTTTTTACCACTGATCAAAACACTAGTTTTCAAAATTGTCAATCTTTTCTCCATAAACTTCTCATATGAATGAACTCAATTTTAGCATGGAGGTGCATGCCTATAATCTCTGCACTCTGGGATACTAAGGCAAAAGGATAAGTTTTAGTCCAGTTTGGGCAACACAGTGATTAAGAAGACCCTATCTAGGGTCGGCCAAATAACTCAGCAGATTAAAGCACTTGCAAGCAGGCGCAGGGGCCAGGGGTTCAATCCCTGGGCCTGCCATGCCAGCCCGACCCCCCGGGGTGCACTGAGACGGCAATTGAGATTGGGTGTGGTGGCATGTGCCTGTAATCCCAGCCCTTGGAAGGCTATAAACAATCACTACGAGTCCGATCTCAAGAGTGAGACCCTGAACACCCTCACCCTGTAGACCCTTCCCTAAAATACCAAAAAAAAAGGAAGAAAGAAAACAAAAAAATGAAAAAGAAAACCCTGTCTCAAAACTTAAAAAAAGGGCTGGTAAGATGGCTCAGTGGTCTAAAGCACCTACTTACAACAAGCTTAGCAAAGCACAAGGACTGTGGTTCAATCCCCCAGCACCACATGCCAGCCAGCCACGAACCCTGGTGGGCTGAGCTGGCCACACACACACACATAAATAAAACTAAAAAAAAAAAAAAACTTAAAAAAAATTTTTAAAGGGCTGAGAATGTAGCTCAGTGTAAAGGCTGTAGGGTCAATCCTTAGTATATACATACACACACCACCACCATCACTAACACACCACCATCATGACCATAAAATAATATAAAGATTAGTACAATATAAATAGTACCATAATTGCAATAATTCCAAAGTTTTAAAAAAATTATCTAGAAATTTTAATGGTCCAATCCTTTTACCTGAGATTTACATAAAGAATAAGCTCACCTTCAGTCAAATATCACTACAGCTATACAACATGAATGTTTAAATATTGTATTAGTATATGATTAGGCTATACATGTTCCTAAAGCTCAAAAGATACACATTTTTGTAGCAATCAATACTTTTCACATCCACACTGAAATTATCTTTTTCTTCTAAATTGTACTATATAAAGTATCAACGTTACAAAGAATAATTACAGTATAAGAAGGTAATATAGAGACCCAGAGCGCAGGCCCGGCGAGTGAGTGAGATGACCGAGGGCCTGGCGGGATCCTGAACAGACCCAGAGCGCAGGCCTGGCGAGTGAGTGAGATGACTTGGGTCCTTTCGGATCCTGAACAGACCCAGAGCCCAGGCCTGGCAAGTGAGTGAGACGACCCGGCCCACGGATCCTCATTCGACCCAGGCTGCAGGCCCAGCAGGGAACCCTTCAGCAGAACTCCCTGCAAAGAGGCTAGAGGCAAGACCCACCCAGCTGATTCAGGAGCAGAACATCTTGCCAGAGAGACACGAAGGGTTCAACTCTAAAGGCTGCAGCAGAAAGAAGTGGAGTACAGACAGCAGCCAGAACCAAACAACACCCACCTGGAGGAATCTGAACTTCATAGATCCAGACCTGGTGCTAAGGTAATAACTCTAAGCTCTACACCAAGGTCAGAAGACAGTGGTATACAAAATGACAAAGAGAAGGAACAAAATGCAGTCTCAGGCCCCGAGTCCACCCAGTACAACTGCAGAAGACACTAGCACTGAGGAAATTGGAAATCACACACCAGATATCTCTGCAATAATAGCACTGACAGTAAAGAATCAACTGCAGAAAGGTATAGAAGAAATAATTTCAGAACTAAAAAATGTAGTGGTAACTATAATCAAAGAAGTACTAAGTGTTTCTAAAGAATACACTGATAAAAAAAAATAGAGGAGAATATAAAAATGATGGAACCCCTGAATAAACAATTTAGGAAAGAAATAGACTCTATGAAACAGGTTCAAAGTGATATACAGGAAATTAAAACCTCAATCACAAGCTGGCAAAATTGTTTGCGTGAAAGTGAAAATAGACTTTCTGACCTGAAAGACACCATTGCAGCTCGTGAAAAACTAAGAAAAGATCTCTTTAAAACAACTAGAATGCAGGAAAAAATAATTTAATACCTGCAAGACGATGCAAAGATGAACAACGTGAGACTAATAGGCATCAATGAGAAGGAAAGAGTCAATACAAATGATATAAAAAGAATATGGGCAGAAGTAATAGCAGAAAACTTCCCAAATATGGGGTAACAATCTGACATTCCTGTAATTGAAGCATATAGAACTCCAAATAGTATCAATCCAAGGAAAACCACACCCAGACACATAATAATCAAGATTCCAGAAATTCAGGATAGGAACAGTATACTAAAAGCTGCTAAAGAAAAGAAACAGATCACATTTAAAGGAAAACCCATCAGAATAACGGCAGATTTTTCTTCACAAACCATCAAGTCAAGAAGAGCATGGAGCAAAGTACTTCAAGTCTTGCAAGAAAACAAATTCCAACCCAGACTGATATATCCTGCAAAACTTATCTTTCAAATACAATGGAGAAGTAAAATATTTTCATGACAAAGAACAACTAAAGTTCATGATGACAAAGTCAAGCCTACAAAGACTACTAAATGAGGTTCTAGAGAGAGAGCAAATTGATCACAGCCCCAGGAATGAGAATGGAAAGAACCCGTGAAATAGGGCAAACAATTAAACAGAGGAGAATAAGAGGT